GGCGCCAATTTGGCTCAACCTCCCGGGGGGGGATGGGACTCAGATCTGGTGGCACAGGGAGCAAATCCCCTCTCCTGCCACCACAACACCCCCCCACATCAAACTATCACACATGTGCAGAATTACTCTTTTCTAGCCCTGCACCATTCATCCAAAATATTCCAAAAGCCATTTTGATGATGATTCCTGGCAGATCATCTCATGCCCATAAGAAGCCAGGATCCTATACAAACAACACGCTTACTTCCACTTGGTTTTTCTTTCCAACATGCTTATTTCTACTTTTACTTTCTTTCTTTCTGCTAAAGTTAGCAAAATCAGAATGATCAGTAACAAGCAGGAGATGCACAGGACCTTGCAGGCAGCAAGTTCATAATGAGTGTAAAGACAAATTAACTCTGAGCAGAGTTCAATTTGCGTTTTGTCTTAACACACAGTCTGCCCAAGAAGGTTTTTTCTTAAGTCCAAGCAAAAGCTTCTTGAGGGTAAATTCTGAGAAAGTTCTCCGCCTTCCACCCTAGCCCTCACATACCTCTGCAATGTCATCAGGGCTGGTCAAGGAGAAGCTGTGGCCTGCCAGCTGATACGCCTTGGTCTCAATCTCGCTCAGTTTAGCTTGCATGACCTGTTTCTGGGTTTCATAGGCTGCTGTGCTAAAACCAATGCCATTCAGCTCCAGTAGAGCCAAGCAATAATGAGTGGGCATCTCCACTTTAGAAAACACATCTGTAAGTACAAGCCCCAAGAAAAACTTCTATAACATCAAAAACGGATCAATAGATTCATAAAACACCACCTGGGGAATCCTCAGTTTTTAAAATCCTGAATGTCCTGACATGCTGAAATCTCTGAATATAGATTTAGTTTAAATACTTTGGTTTCTGGAATATTTCGTAGTAAGAAATATTTCATAATAAGAAGTATTTCAGAACTTTTTATCACAGCAGTATTTAAAAGAATAACAACTTCTGTCTTTTTTTTTTCCTAAGAAATACACATCTCTCTCTATATCAACATTTTATAAGCCACAGATATGCTTAATGTAAAGCTTTCTAACTTGATACACTTTTATTCCATCACCCGCATCTTTTAAAAAGGTTCTAAAGTTTAGTTGTCACGATCATAAATGATGTAGTAAACTTGCAATAGAACACTTCAATGAGACTGGACTCTAATCTTAGGCTTTGGATACAATTTAGAGGAAACAATCATAAAGCCCAGCAATAGGTATGTGCTTTTTGGTGTTTTTCTGCTTGCTTGTTTTTAAACAGAGACAAGCATTCAGCAAACATTAGTGCAAACATACTGGATTATTCACCATGGGATCACAAAAGTTTCATGGACACAACACATACATGGAAAATAATGCTACAGGGGCAGGCCAAAGAGCAAGACATCTCCTTCAGAAAACATCTGAGGATTTTAGGAATTGCTTCTGACAAGGAAATGCAAAAGCTTTTGAAAACGTTTGAGAAACCACAGACAGACTCACAAGTCCCCTGGGAATGGCCAGAGTACTCATGTGGGAAGTAGAGATCTGCTTGATTCAGAGACTTAAAATAAATTCCGCTATTGCTTTAACCATGGTGGATATTTGGAATATAAAAATTATATTTTAATTTAAAATTTAATTTAATTTTTTTGACAAAACAGACATACTTCCAAGGGAAGCTCCCTCTTTTCTTTTAACAAATGAACATTTTGCCACAGAATATACTTAAATAAGAACTTCCAAATCTCCTCTCTTCTCCACTGATCATTCAGCCTGTGGTAGCACAGCCACCTTTACCCTCCGTCTTTATCCCCAAGTGGAGCTCTTCTTACCTGTCAGATTTTCCTTCTGTAATTCATTATGGAGTTCATTCATGACACTGAAGACAAGCACAGACTCTACTGCTGCTCTGTACCGCCCAGAATGATCTCTGCTGGCACTAAGCCCCAGGCTCTGCACCCCTTGGCCGGTGCCTACCCCTTCCAGTAGAGGTAGCTCACTGGGGAGAAAGTTAGTCACCATGTTGTGAAGTGTACGTTCCTTAGAGCCAGAATCAAGCAGCCAACATGCAACCTTAAAAAGGGAGACGTCCATGAGATCTTTTTTCCATTTTAGTCATAATACAATGTAAATATTTAACTGGGGGTTATTGCAAGGTTACAGTGCAGATTATTTTTCTTGATTTCACAGGCAGATTGGAACAATTTGTGGAAAAGTTACAAGATTTCAGATAAAACTTTCGAGGGGGCATAAGGCACTGAAAAGTTTCATTCTCATTCAAACTAAATTCTGCACATTTGAAAACCATATCCTCTGTCCACTAAACACATCTAGAAGCGTTGTCCTCAGGTTTTTTCATTTATTAAAACCTAACAAAAAGGGGACTATATATGAAAATCAGGATCAAAACATGTTTAATCTGAAAATTGACTTTATAAAAATCAGAAGATGCTATTGATCTAGAATATTAGTCAAGCTGAGCTCTCCTGTTTTTTGCACATCAGCACTAGTACCAAGAATGCTGCAAGGCAAATTTTATTCATGGTAAGCGTCATACCTTCCACTGTCCTGAAAGCAATTTCACTTACAGCTATATTTCAATTTCTTGTGTCAAAATAGGATGAAACACAGGTTTCTGCATTGTCTCTGCCATGCAAGCAGAAGGCAAAAACCACATGTGTATATACAGGTGGGAGGAGTCAGGGGGTGTGAAGGTGTGCATGTATGTATATATTCATTGCATCACTAAAATGAACAAATATGAGTGTGACTAATACATAGAACAGTGCAGAGAAGGTGCTACTGTTATTGCTTTTTAATTTTATCCTAAAACTATGTATCCGTATGAAAAGTTAAGTTTGTCCTTGTTTTGAACACCTTACCTACTTACCTGCGGACTTTAACATTGCCATGATGCTATTCAGCCCATGTGCGATGCAAGCTTTAGAAATTAACACCAGAAATTTCTATGCATCTAGAGCTTTTCCTAGTAAGGACAAGAAGGTGCTTTTACCTCTTTCTAGTGTTTTATTTGAGTTACAAATGATACTGAACCTTTTCAAATAATGTGAACTTTGTTTTGTTTTGAGAAAATGGCAGCAGCAATAGTGGACAAATCTTCTGCTTACAAAGTCTTCTGCTCTCAGAATCAATAATCTGACCAGAAGCACTTCTGCCATTTCAGTTCTAGGCTTCTTATTGCAACAAAACAAGAGTTCAGCCCTGTCCACTGGAACAGGGGAGAGATTTAACCTCATCCTCCCCACCCAAGCAATCAGATGTGAAAGATTTAACCTATCACTGAACCTAAATACTGGTTTAGATTTCCCACTAGAAGAAAATTTCACTAAACCGCCTGGCAGGTGTGCACATTGAAATCTAAATAACAGAAGGAAAGTACCAGAAGGTACTCCTGTCTTTCCACTGGGGTGTTTAAACTAGTAATTTTACCCAAGCTAAATTTCTTAATTGTGCAAACCTTTGGGTCCTCGAAACTTCCTTCCAAGGAGATGCCACAAGCCATTACCAGAGTCTTGTAGTGCTGAATGAAGTTATACATGACAAGTGAGCGCTCCTGCTTGGGCTTCTTCTGCAGGTACAGCTGCAGATGATACAGTCTCTCTGTTACAGATAGGTTTTTGTCCAAAGGTGGAGGTGCCAGACTCATACTGATTTCTAAGACATGAAATACAATCAAAAATCACCTTTTTACCCACTGAATGATAAGAAAGGCAAGCGAAAAATCTTGAATTAAATCACCCAAAACACAAAAACTACAGTAGGACTGTGAACAAATAACTATAAATTTATACCGACACTACATATTTTACCGAACCAGACAAGGCTCCCAAAAGCAATATGCTGTGTCTGTACTACTAAACAAAGGATAGTCAGGAATTAAACCCTAGCCACGAGCCCACATAACACAGATTGGGTTATTTTCAGCATTCTAGAGTCAGATTTGCTCTGGAGAGTAAAAATTGGAAGAGGTTGAAAGAGAAAAGCAAGTAAGCTAAAGACAACATGGGAGTAAGCGAACATTTTAGCTGTATGCATGATCAGCAGTCCAGCGCTTGAGTCAGTCTCCTGGCCTTATTATATAGCAGCATAGATGTGTCCACAGCAACATGTTTGTCACGTTTTGAGGTCAAAAGACCAGTCTATCAGCTCCCAAGTCAGGCGAGACCCTTGGGTCCGAGTCCCCCTGCCTTCCCTTGGCAGCCCAGTGAATCAGAGGGTTGTTCGTCTGACTTATCGTGGGACCCGTCACTAACAGACGAACAAGAGGTAATTTGGCCAGTATACCAGCTCCCAAGTCAGGCGAGACCCTTGGGTCCGAGTCCCCCTGCCTTCCCTTGGCAGCTCAGTGAATCAGAGGGTGGTGCGCCCACTTATTAGGGAGCGTCACTAGTAGTACTATGGACCAACTCCTTATAATAATTCAAAAGTTTCCGGAAACATACATATATATTTTATTTGTGACAGAATACAGGTTCGAGGATAGCCGGTGATAGTGACGGACTACAAAAACAACTCTAATTGAAATACTGCAGTGATAATATAAAACAATTACTGATCAGTGATAATACCAAATAGCTAGCAAGATGTTAGTAAGTAATTAAGTGCATATAACACAGAGTTCTTACCCAATAGGTGTCCCTATGGGGGGCAGAAGAGAGATTCAGCCCGTTGACTGATCCCAGACGTTCCGATGAGGGGGGGGTTTCTCCCTAACATCCCCTTTGTTTGCTGCCATTTTATACTTTTTCATATCTTTTAGGTGGAGCTCAAGTGACTCTAGTCATACATAACTTATTAGGATTGGTGTAAATTGCTCATGAGGGGTGGTCGCAGCTCGGAGGCGGGTGGAGGTGTGATTTAGTAGCTAAAGGACACAATTTCACCATCACTGCTGAGGCAGCGGTTGTGATTCACTTCCCTTGATGGCATTTTTATGGTTATCTTTACCAGGTGCCTCTCATCCCTGATAACAGGGATGAGCCGTGATTCCTCTGTACCACTCTACTCCCCATTTCAAGGGTATTGCGTAGGCCTTGTTCTTTATTTCTTATCCCCGATAACAGGGATCAGCCATGATACCTTCGTATCACTCTACTCCCCATTTCAAGGATATTGAGGCCTTGTTTGTTCCTGGGAGCAGCAGCTGTGCTTCATCTCAGAGCTGCTCTAATATTAGCTGAATTCTGGGGAAAAATATTCTCCCATTCCCCTCCAATTTCAGTCATTTTCCCACAATGTTCAAGGGTGTTCAACACTTCAGACTGCTGAAAAATATGGCTAAATTACTCCATCACACAACTGAGCTGGGTTTGGGACACCCAAAACACTTCCAAGAACCTATCTGCTGAAGGTACTTTCTTGAAACGCAGTGTTATGTAACACAGCACAGGCTGTCCGCTCACTTACCAGTCTGGTCTTGTATCTGCTGCAAAGAGATATAGTAGGCATCTTTTCCACCCCAACATACTGCCAGTCCAACCACCAAGATGTCTTCGCAGCCCTGGACAGGAAATCCATCATCTTTAACTTGCATCCACTGAGGAGAAGTTACTAAAGGAATAATTTTTAAGTTACAATTATAAAATGGCATCCATAAATACAGAAAAGTTTGGATCCTGAAAATGTAAATACACACAGTTGAACCTAAATTTCTTTATAAGTACATGTATACCTTCATTTTTATCTATAGGGAGAAAAATCTGTGTTTCTTTTTGGGAAAAACAAAAAAAATCAAACCCCAACATGTTTAGAGTAGCAAAACTTTCTCTTAACAGAAAAAAACACCCATATAGCAACCCTGCAAAACTCTGGCCTTTCCTAGCAATCTCTTCAAGACTTGAGACAGAAATTTCATATATGTATTGTCTCCTTTCAGTCTGAAAAACATTTCACTTTTGTCTGTCAAAAATATATTTTGATAGTTAAGAATTGTTATTGTTATGGCGATATGACAGCAAAGACTCTAACTCTGCTTAATCTTGTTATTTTAAAGGAAGAGTATGTTTATACAGCAGCAGCCAAACTGCAGCATACGAATACTTCTGTGGAAAAAAATGAAGCAATATTGCAACACTCCAGAGACTGATCTGAATTTTACATGTGCATATACTGAACCAAATTTACTTTTTGCAAACTCGAAAATATCTAACCTTGGTTCAGAGGCAATCCCGCAAGCAACACTGCTCAGTGGAGACCCTGAACAATCTGTACAGTTTACTGTTCAATATATTATTAATTTTAAAATACACCAAAACTTCTTTGTGACATGCAAAGATGCATGATAAAGGGACTGCACAACACAGACCCATTTCAAAATCAGATACACAATGAAACCTTAAGAATATTTAAACGCTCTGAAATACAAATGAGCTGCTAACACTTCATTACTATCACCAAAGAGCTACCAACCAAATGCTTGACACCAATTCTCCATCAGCTCCTTTGCATTACTGTGACAGAGAATATTCGATTACTATCAGTAATTTTCCTCCTTTTTCGCAAACCCTTTCCTTCTCCACTCCTACTTTAAGCGGAAGATGTCACCCTGCTGTTCACCAAATAATGTGCTGGAACACAGAACTGACCTTTCTGGAATTTGCCACCAATGGTTGATTTGGGAGACAGAAGACATTTTGCTCTTTCGCATGCCACTGCGATGGAGAATCTGCTTTTCTCCTTCCATTCTGCAACAAAAGTCTGGAAAAGTGCTTTGTCGCTTGCTACATCAATAATAGTGAAATTTTCAGCACTTAAGGGAACGAGTGGAAAAGCATCCTGAGACAGCTGCAGTGAAAAGCCTTGGTCTATAGTGGAATCATCTTTTCCCTCATCAGTCTCAACTGGGTCTACAATTCCAGGATTGACCTGGAGTGTTTTTACCTGCTGCTCTGCATTGCCCTCACTATTCTGCTGCAGCTGAATCAGCCACTCTTCGTTCATGCAGGTGACTTGTCCCTTCCTTGCAGATTTCACAGAGAGAGAAGCAGAACTCTTTGGAAAAAGCTCTTTGGGGGGTGTTGGAGGAATAAACCCGTTATTACCATCTAGTGCAGGACAGGGTATTTTGTTGCTTCCCTTCAGTGGAAGTGTTATGCAGTCTGTTTTCTGCACAAGATCCAAGTCTTGTGTTTCATTTTCTTTAATCTTGAAACAGCTTTTTAAATCCTGGCAAGTGGGCAAAGGCTTTGGCTGACAACGGTCAGTTTCAAAAATTGGATCTAGCTCTTGATTAGTAATAGAAGCAACTAACTTTTCTTTCAAACAGGAGCTTACTGAAACTGGTTCAGTGCTTGAGGGTCTAGGCCATTTGTCTAATACATCCTGCAATCCTGGGCTTAGTTCAAAGGAGCGGTCAGTCCACACCACAGGACGGGTTGTCTTGTCTAAAGCTTGCAGGCTTCTCTGGAGCTTTTCACCTTGATCTCCTACTAAATCCTTTGGTCTGGGGTCATTGTTACAAATCACTGGGTTTCTGAATCCTGGCTGACCACGAAATGTAGAAGGAAGATCTTCCAGAAAAGACGGGGAGTTTGCATGATCTAAAACTTCAGCTATTAGATCAGAGAATGCTAGAGACACATTGTTAGGCTGTGCAGTGTCCTCATGCTCTTTCTGATTGTCACTGACATCCAACTTACTCTGAACAGGCCTTAGGTTCTGCAAAAGACCTTCTGGAGGAAGCAAAGCCTCTTGCTTCTCCACAGATTCCTTTCTGTCAACTTCCATGAGGTCACCAACGTTACTGAAGCTATCATCAAACAGCAAGCTATCACTCATATTCAGGCTTGTTTCAGGGACAGGGTGGCATTCTACTTGTACAATGTGCTCCCTACCAAAAGGGGAGGTTGCTTTATTAAGGTCTTTAGACACAGTCTCCCCTCCTTTCACTGAATTTTGGGTCTGGTAATCTTGTAGAAAACTGTGTAGCTGGGAGTCGGTCACTGAGAAATCGCTTTCTTTAAGGCAACGTGTAGATTCTATTTCCTTCATTACGGGCTGTAAATTAAGGCCTCTAGACTCCAAAACTTTATTACTGCAGTGCTGAGATGTGCTTTTGGTAGTGTTATTTGTTGCGTTAAGACTCGATAAGCCCAGATTCCTAACTGTTGCAGCTGGCCTTTCGTCAGTAGCATTCTTGGTCCGTGAAGTGCTTTGTCTCTTGGAGATTTCCTGCTGCGGTATCGCTGCCAGCTCTAAACTTTGTACTCCCTGCTGTCCTGTGATTTTAGCTGCTCCTTCCTGTTTTATTATCATCTCAGTTTGAGTATCCAACTGGAAGCTGTCTTCAAAGTTCCTAGAGTGAGAAAACAGTTCAGAGCATGGACCATTCTGAACATCACGTGCATTGCAAACACCCCTGGATTTTATTAGAGAGTCTTTCAGAAAATCCTTAGGATGACTGTCGGCTTTCTGCAGTGCTCCAGCTTGTAACAGTATCCCATTAAGCTTTTCGCTCTCATTTTTTCCACCATTCTGAATCTGAATATGGCAGGATTTATCCTCACCAGGACGAAAATGCACAGGCTTCTGTATCCTGCTGCCACTATGGACAAGTCTGCTTCCAGAGCAGCTAGCAGCTACATTACAGTGACCCGTATCTAAAGCCATCTGCTGCTTACCCGTCATCATCTCAGCACAGCTCGCATCTGTTTGTGTTTTATTAATTTTATTCCGTTTATCATTAGTATTTTCATTTCTCTGTGTCCTAGCACTAGCAGGTATCACCACACTTTCTACAATATTATGAGTCTCCACGTTGATGTGTGGAGTACCCTGTAATGCAACAGGTGACTGAAAACACACTCTCCCCTTGGGCATGCCTTTATTAGTCGTGGTAGACTCTGTAAATAATCCTTTCATTTTATCCTTCCTCTCAAGATTAAATTCCCACATCTGTACAGAACTTGAGACTTTGTGAGTTACAGACCCTGTTTCTGTAAATTCCTTATTATTTTGGTCTGAAAAAAATCCATCTTTACAGATGGTGGGGTGGAAAGCAGGTGGTTTTTCTGTGGCTATAAGCGTATTTGAATCTTCAAGAAGTGATCTCTGCAGTTTTGAAGCAGTATTTTTGTTCCTAGTCCGGTTTAAATGCATGTCCGTACTTTTTATCAGTCTAGAGGCTGAAGACTTTGTTTTCAATGTTTGTGTTTTTTCTTGTTCAGTAGGGAGTTCTGAAATTGTTCTCCTGGAATTGACCAGAGAAATTCCTTCCACGTTTTCATTATCTCTGCATGTATTTGGCCATCTTCTAGCACTGTACACAGTATCATCATTGCCTTCCTCTCCTCGAGCCTGTTTCCTGCTTGGGACTTCTCTCTCAAATCTGAAGTTTTCTGTACTACTGCTTAGTTGCCTTTTATATCCCTTTTTAATATTTGATAAGTTTCCAGTCTGCAAACCAAGGCCATTACAATGTTGAGCTCTGCTTCCCTTTTTGTTTAACACCCTAGAAGACTGCTTTCCATTTGACCTATGTAGTCTGTCTTCCAGTTCTGACTCACTGGTGATCATAGAGGATGTATCAGACTCTAGAAAAGACTCTGGGTTCCACTGCACTCCCATCAGTGCCAAATCCTGTTGGAGAAGTCCCCTGGCTTCCTCCACAATGAGTGAAGCTGCTTCTCTTTCGTTTAAGTTTTTCATTCCAGCGATCCAGATGCTGCGCACAGTCCGACGCTCCGCTGCTGATTCTTCATCTTCATCCACAGCTCTACGAACGCTACGGGAAAGGTAACAGACAGATGTAAACATGCATGCAGAAAATAACAAACAACACGAGGAGCTGGCACTATTCTGCTCTGCTCCCATTTCAATTAGCTTCACAGCTTCCTAGCTTCACAGAAGCACTATATCCAAAATAGAATGCACTTTACAGGAAACAACTATTTCAGCTTTCTATATATGAATTGATGTCGATGAAAGATATTACTGGCTGCAAATCCCAGAAGCATTCCCACATTTCTGTGTCCAAACATG